GTTTAAGGAAAAGTACGTTCTTGCCTACGGTTTGAGGAAGTGGTTGCATAGCCCTCATAGAATTTCACAATAGACGTGGATCATGCTGTATATATCATGGGCGGCATTAATAAATTGAAGGATACGATGTATTATGCATGAATACCACACATTCATAAAAAACTGAAAACTAGAAACTTTTTAAAAACCGAAAGAAACCCTCCGTTAAAGAATAAAATTTAAAGAAGGCGTAATTTCCTATCAAATAAGTACAAGAGGGTTTTTTCGTGCATGCTTTCCATAAAATATATTAAAATTTATAAAGGCACTCAATGTCAATGATAAAAATGGATACTATTTAAGAAGCCATTTTTTTACAGGATCAACTTTTTCGCAGAGGTCAGAAAGAAGCTCATCACAGAATCGGCATTCTAACCTGACTGAAAATAATTGAAATTGGCCTATATGATAAACAGTATTGCAACCCTTCTCATTATTGGTTTGCAAGTAAGTACCGGTCTTTTTGAAATTGCGGAATGTTTCATGCAGCACTCGCCATATTCTAATTATGGATAAAGTTCGATGTCTGGTACGGTGATTGGTCCAAAGAAGCAGAACAGTCTCCGTCTCGGCACCAATGACAGTTTACCTATCCCTCTAAACGCAGTGCACCGACTGCAACACACTCGCTTACGTACGCTGGTGCCATTTTTACACACAAATTAAGCGCAACAACACCCTTCCTTGCTTCTGCCAGGAGCATCTGAAATTTGTCCCCGGGACTTGACACAGTGGTGTCGTGCTCATATATGCCGAGCTGTATTTTAACCAATTTCTGTTCAACTTGCAACGAACAAAAATTCAGGGAATGTCAAGGAAATGCTGGAAATATTTTTGCTTGATTTGTTTCGTAGTCGTCGTGGTCACTGTCATCATCCACAGTTTAACTACCATCCCCGCTACATGTTTGCTGCTTTTTTCATTGCTGGGAAAAGTGTCTCCTGAAAAAAACTATAGGATCTTCTACAATCGATACTGCACAGGTATTGCTCCATGGAATAATACCTATGGCTACACTTCTGTTATTCGTCAGATGCAATGGATCACAAACACCAGTGACACAGTAAGTTTGTAGGCAGACTGTGCTATTTAGAAAGACAGTAGTGGCGGTTTTTCATGCACACTGCCGAAACTTGCCAAATATTGATAATCACGCGCAAAACGGCATTAAGTAGGGCTTCAGTACTGACTATTGTGCAGTCTAACCTCTTTTTACTTAGGTCAGGATTTCGGCCTTTTTAAAGAGCGTCTTTATGAGCACTCATAGAGAGCATATCATGTAAAAAATGGCTACGAAGGTAGCATGCATTTAACTCATTTATTTTCACTGCCCATATTAATTCAAATATACTTCATATATAACATCCACAAGAGTATTCTGTCTTGTACCCTTTTGATAAAAAATTGCGTCATCATCGAATTGTATACCTAAAATAAGGTTATATTTCGGTTTAAGAAAAAGTCCTAACTATGAGCGTTTTTATGACTGTAAAATGTTCACGCATAGTACATTGTATCCGTCAATTTATTGTTGTTACCTATAACGTATAAAGCTAGATACACTCCTATTACCAAAGTATATAAGAACTATGCGATTGCTTTCTCAACCTGTAGGGGAAAAGTTACTTTTCCTTAGAGAGGATGTACACCGCCTGCTGTTTGTAAACCTTGAATTAAGGTGTAATGTTCCGTAAGTTTCAATATTACTTGAAAATGTACAAAAATATTTGATTGAAAGGTGCCATATTTGAAATCTATACCCTAAAGAAAGCGTACTTTGCTTGCATACGAGTAAAATAAATAATATTTTCATGCGTGTTTTCTGCAGAATATATGTTTAAAATTATAACGGCAGTGAAAATCAGTGTGCTAACTGCGTACTTACTAAGTAATCACTTTGTAGAGAACAGAATTTTTGTAAGCTGTCAAAGGAATGCTCGTTAAAATGCCGGCGTCCGGAGGTGAATAAAATATTTTAATATGAGGCTGCACAATAATCAGTATAACAACCACACGTAACGCCGGTTTGCGAGTGATTATCGATCTTTCGCAGTGTTTGGGATTGTGCATGAAATACGACGGTACTGTTATACCCCTCCTAAAATCTAAGCTGTGCTTGTCCATCGTCGATGTCTTTTATCCCTGACGATGGACTCCAGAAAGAGCCCGAAAGCTCATACGAATAAAATTATAATTCCGGTGATCGAAAGGCCTTCTCGATCTCTAAGCTATGCATGTCATCTGAATCGTGTAATACGCAAATAGATCAACGTTAGCCGACAAAGTTGCGAGAGAGTGAGGTGAGCAGGCGGGTTTTAGGAAGTAGTTTAAAAAGAGAAATTTCGATCGCTGGAAAAAGAACAAAACCAACCTGACGGTTCCGGTCTTCTCTTGAAATCGTCACCAGAAGCAGTCCCCGATAAGCCTATTAGGATTCGAATATGCACTGGAAAAAAGCAAATTAAAACACGTGTTTTTTCGAATTAATTGTTCTTTAGTGGATAGTACATTCCTTAGACCACGCTACTATTGTCACTATTCTTTATTTGAGCAAAAGTAGCTTGTGTAGTCCCCGTCATATACCACTAGTCGCAGAATTTTTTCCCACGAAAATGGTAGGTTTAAGGTTTTGGGGGGGTGGGGAAATAGGATAGGCAGAGAAGGAAATTTTAGAAGTAAGGGTAGAGTGAAAAATGTAGTCGAATTCGTTTCCCGCGGCCGCTGGGAGTAAGTTGTTCCGCATTTAAATTGAAGGTATGCGCGGCGCTGCGCACCGCGGACTAAACTAATCTAACTCCAGAACGGTAAGTTTGACCTTAGGTAAGTGAAGGTAGACGAACTCCTTACCACCATTTCTTTTTTTACAGGAATTGTAAAAAACCTGCAATTTGATAATCGGGTTTTCCCGCGATAATTTAAACGATAATGCAGATTAAGAAAATCTACAGATATAAATTAACAACACTTCCAACTACAATAAAATAAAAATGCATATAACAGTTATTAAAGTATATTCCACTGCGTGTCCTAATTCCCCACACATAAAACCCTATTACCACCGTTTTCATAGGACAACACGCTGAGTGTAGGGATTAAGGCGAAGGATTACATAGGCTACTGTTGCCTTTATTTGTTCAGCATGGTGACATTTTGCTAACCAGTGATATCCGGTAGAACACACGTTTCGACATCGAGTAAAAAGGCCCACATAAACTAGAACTTGAATGTCACCGATTTTTAGGATTACTATCTACTATGCTAATTGAATGTTTGTAATATTGCCATTAAGTATTTTAACTTGAAGTCATTGAACGCTTAAAAGCACAACTGCTGCCATCTATTCCTTCTCACCTTACTTTTTTTCTATATTTTGACTGTGAATAATCTTCTACTGTCATCCCAATACGCAGGCATAATCCTCTGAAAGATGAAACTGATCATCTCAAATAACTTCTGTCCACCACAAACACTAATCGGTGTTCTTTAAACCTAGGTGCACGAAAATGATGGCCCTCTTATTTTTTACGACAAAAGATTACTTTGGCATAAATTATCCTCGGAGAACTGCAAATATTACTGCAGATTCTCCACAAATTTTTCGGATTATCGGAAGGCCGTTCTAGCAGTTTTTACGAAGGATCCGCCAGCAGAAGCCTTACCAATGCCCGATCATCAGACCTGGGCCCTGGAGTCTGGAGAATCCCCTTTCCACATGCCGCCGATATCGGTGCATTTTAGGAAACATGTAAGCTTTTCACAAATAAGCCTGAAGTATTAACCACCGTTTAAGGGTGAATAGAAAATCACCTAGTGTACTCTTCAGGACGCAGTCATGAGACTTATCCCTAGATTCGGCATCTACACATTTTCTAAACGATTCACCTTTTGCCATGTGTCAGTGCCATGTAACTGCACACTGTGTTCCCTGTCAAGTAAAATTCGCTCGCATTTTCCCTAGCATTGCGGCACTATCTTATAAATTGCAGGAACAATATATGAGAAAAATGGTGCTTACGCAAATGCCTAAGATGTGTATCGATGGAGGATCTTAATATGCGAGTGAAATATCCAATTTCTTTTAAAATACAGGACGTGTATTAAACGCCATCAACAGTGAGTAACAAAACGCCCGCCGTAAATAAAATATACAACCACTACAATATCGGGATTTGCTGACATTTGCGGAGTAACGGATAAAACTACGAATTTCTGTGATTAAAGAAAAGTGAAGTAAAATGTAAAATAAAAAACAACCTGTAATTAATAAATCTGTAAGCAGCCTACAAAATAGGCTTAAAATAAACTAAATAAAGTTGAAATAGGTAAAATAAAAACTTGCTAAAACTGTAGTTATCTAAAGAAGGGTAAACCAGCATAAGGGAAATTGACTAAACTAAAAACTAATCGGAAACAATAATACAACTCACAAAACATAATAACTAACTAAAAAGTTACCTAAAAGCTGAACAAAACATTAATTGATGCACAACGATGTGGCCTGAAACGGCAGTCTGTCTTTACCTCCCATTCGTAGAAGGGGAGAGTTAGTGAAGAGTACGAGCAATTTTGCCGCCTGGAAGCCACACTCTGCCAGTTTCTCCGACATGGTTACTTTGACCGCAACTGCACCAGATTCTATAGACGGCCCCAGAAGTTTCTTGCTGTGGCAGTTGGTCTTTTGGCTACACGCCCGAGCCCATCGTCCGTAATGAAAGTTCAACAGGTCATGTTTGTATGACAGCATTTGAGCGCTTTGCCAGACTAGAAAGAAGGTACCCCACTGTTGCCATTTTTTGGTCGTTAGAGCATAAAGGAGAAACCTCCAACGTCTATTGATTTGTTAATCGTAATCAAGGCTCAGCCCTACACCTAGCTGCAGTCGAAAAGACCAACACTAAAAGTCACTGTGATTTACAGAAATGAGTTAACTGCAGGTACGCTTGAGATCTAAGTACCTCCCACAATGCTGCAATGCAAACTCCGTTCTTTCGCTCATTATCAGCTTTTGTGTTGCACACTTTGACACCTACAGTTAGTTGCTGATCTGATCAAATGGAAAGTGAAATTCAGGAATGAGGTTACAAAAAGAGGGCTTGCGGAACTTTACTGGCTATATAACTTATCCCGCAGTAAAATCATGTAATATTTGAGATCAACCATGGAAACGGTTATCCAGAAAGGTTCATCCTTCGGAACATCAGGAAGCGTGTCACAAAGGCCGCTGTTGCAACGCTGGAAAAGAAAGATATATTCCAAAGATTGCCTTTTATGGGAGACGCAGCAAGTGAACTGGTACGACGACGCCTGAGGACGGCAGTTACGTGTGCCTTCCCGGCGGCAAACTTACTCGTACTCTTTACTAACTCTCCCTTTCTACGAATGGGAGGTAAAGACAGACTACCGTTTTAGGCCTCATCGATGTGCATTTATTCTTTCACCTGTTCCTGTGGATCGGATATATTGGCGTTACAACGCGACGTCTGCAGAAGAGAATACGCAAGCACATACCAGCGTGGCTCAGCAAAGGAGAGAATAGGCCGATCTTAAGCCCAATTTTCGCCCTACTTATCGATGCAAGCCACCAAGTGGACGCGAGAGAAGCCATTCAGGTCTTATACCGCATGCCAACACACTACTCCAAAGGCTTGCGCAAACGGGTGTTAGCCACTGCAGAGGCAGTGGCAATCCGGTTAGCAAAACCCGCCCTATTCTGTCAAAAGGCGCTGGTACAAGCAATCTGCCTTCCTTAGGCCGACTGCACGCGGAAATCCCACACCTCTTGAAGCCACGTCGTCCGAAAAAACAGAAAACGAAACCACAGAGAATAGTCAAGCTCATGCTGCGCGGCTGACATATGGACCTCAACCCTCTGACCATGAGAATATCCCCCGTTTTCTCTGCGCATCGCAACCACTGTCCTACCTGCACTGGTGCCCGCATTCAGGAGACGAGGAAAAACGCAAATGCTTAATTAAATTCACCTACCCACTAACCCTCTTCCTCCCCCCAACCTGATGACCATATAAATGCTGCAATTAACTGAACATGTTTATTCCCATCTCATGTACCGGCCTGATGATGGACGACCGAAAACAACTGTTAGCTAATACGACTTTTCAAAATATCAATAATTTAAAAAAGCAAACTCTAAAGTAAGGCAAACTAAACTGGTAGTGATTTCAACCCGAAACGCAACCGCATGGAGCTAGTACATTTAAGACCGAACTAAAAAATATAGTCAAACACAACGAGGCCAACTAAACAAAGACAAACTAAAATAAATTGCATTTACTTAACTAAAAGGATAGAAATAATTAAACTTTATTGTAAACTAAAAAAACTAAAACCTAACAGAAAAACAAAATAAGCTATAACTATAACTAAAAGATTATCTATAAATAAACTATTTACGGCGCCCTTTTTGTTATTAAATATCATATTAATTAAACAGTAGTGAAACGTTAAGTAAACTTCCACTTCGTAGGTTCGTCCTTTGCCGTTTCCGATTTTGTTCCCACCCTTCAGTAATCGAAAATATCCTCCTTGGGATTGGTTGGATTTGCATTTGGTTGCTTTGGAACTATTCGTGACTCAGGCTGCATTAAAGAGAGTGAAAGAACTGGAATATATTCATCATATACAATCTCGAAACTTGGAGCTTTTGATAATGCAACCTCTTCATCCATTTGTAGTTTAAAATATTTTTGACAACTAACTCCGAATCACACGTGCCCTGGGTTTACGGTGTTTTCGTGGCCAATGAACAACCGGAGCACACTATGCCACCGCACGAGCAAATTCACATGCTGGATTCTAACAACACTCGGGGGTTGCCGGTGCACCACGCTCAGCGCAAAAATAAGGCGTTCGCTTTAATTTCCAATAGCGTACCGCGAAATAAACGGATGGACTATATTGCTGAACTTACAAATTACGCTCAGGTATGACCTGTCTATTCTTTATGCTACTTGTTGTGTGTATGTCATATTGATTTTATGAGGGTGCAAAGGGTTGGATACTGAATTG